CTAATAATGAATCGGTCAGTCATATTGTTTGAATTCAGTTTATATTACAGAGTTTATGTTGTTTTTATACTTATTTCTACTTTTGTTTTCATTTATACATTATGGATTGCTTATCATAAATATTTATTATTATGGACTTTTATTGACATCTTAAAGAATTTAAACCGCGAAAAATATGAAAAAATAGAAAATTTTCGATGAATTTTTTTTTATAGAAAATTTTTGATTAAAATTTTTTTTCATATAAAATTTTTAATAATTTTTTTTTAAAATTAAAAAAAAAAAAAATTCTTCTTATAGAACTTTTTCAATAAAATTTACTTATAGAAAATTTTCATAAAATAAAAAAATTCATAAACATTTTTCGATTAAATTTTCTTTTTATTAAAATTTTTCGATCAAATTTTCTTTTATAGAAAATTTTAGATCAAATTTTATAAATCAAATTTCAAATATCAAAGGATCAATTTTTCTTTTTATACAGAATTTTTTGGATCAAATTTTCTTTTCATAGAAAATTTTCGATAAAATTTAGTGTTAAAAAAAAGTTTTTGATAAAATTTCGATTTTGTAGAAAAATTTATCGAAAATTTTTATAGAAAACTTTCCATCAAATTTTCTTTTTATAGAAAAATTTTCGGTCAAAATTTTCTTTTTATAGAAAATTTTCGTTCAAATTTTCTTTTTAAAAAAATTTTTCAATCACAATTTTTTTTTTAGAAAATTTTCGATAATATTTTTTATAGAAAATTTTCGATAAATTTTTTAGAAGACTTTCAATCTACTTTTCTTTTAAAAGAAAATTTTCGATAAAATTTTCTTTTTATAGAAGATTTTCGATCAAATTTTCTTTTTATAGAAAATATTCGATCAAATTTTCTTTTTATAGAAAATTTTCCATCAAAGTTTCTTTTTATAGAAAATTTTCCATCAAAGTTTCTTTTTATAGAAAATTTTCCATCAAATTTTCTTTTTATAGAAAATTTTCCATCAAATTTTCTTTATATAGAAAATTTTCCATCAAATTTTCTTTTTATAGAAAATTTTCCATCAAATTTTCTTTTTATAGAAAATTTTCCATCAAAGTTTCTTTTTATAGAAAATTTTCATCAAAGTTTCTTTTTATAGAAAATTTTCCATCAAAGTTTATTTTTATAGAAATTTTCCCATCAAATTTTAATTATATAGAAAATTTTCCATCAAATTTTCTTTTTATTGAAAATTTTCCATAAAATTTTTTTTTATAGAATATTTTCCATCAAATTTTCTTTTTATAGAAAATTTTCCATAAAATTTTCTTTTTATAGAAAATTTTCCATCAAATTTTCTTTTTATAGAAAATTTTCCATCAAATTTTTTTATAGAATATTTTCCATCAAATTTTCTTTTTATGGAAAATTTTCCATCAAATTTTCTTTTTATAGAAGATTTTCCATCAAATTTTCTTTTGATAGAAAATTTTCCATTAAATATTGTTTTTATAGAAAATTTTCGACCAAATTTTCGTTTTATAGAAAATTTTCGATAAAATTTTCGTTTTATAGAAAATGTTCGATCAAATTTTCGTTTTATAGAAAATGTTCGATCAAAATTTCTTTTTATAGAAAATTTTCCATTAAATATTCTTTTTATAGAAAATCTTCAATTACATTTTCTTTTTATAGAAAATTTTCAATCAAATTTTCTTTTTATAGTAAAATGTTCAATAAAATTTTGTTTTTATACAAAATTTTCGATTTAATTTTGTTTTTATAGAAAATCTTCAATCAAATTTTTTTTTTATAGAAAATTTTCGATCAAATTTTCTTTTTATAGAAAATTTTCAATCAAATTTTCTTTTTATAGAAAATTTTTGATGAAATTCTGCTTTTATATAAAATTTTCGATTAAATTTTCTTTTTATGGAAATTTAAGTTCTGACTGCGTTCTTTAATTTTATAGTTTTGTTTTTGTTAATTTTCTTTTTATAACATCAATAAACTAAAATCAAATGATTGGCCAATAAATCATTTATTGTAGAACATATAAAAAATAAATATCGTAAATATTTGCTATTCAATTCTTATGCGAAGACAACATGGAGAAAGAAATAAAGAAAAACCAAATAATGTTTCTAATTTGAAATAAAAAAACAATTTTTTTTCCTTTTTCCTGAACTTTTAAAAAAATACTGCAGTTTATTAGCCGAAAATAAACATTGTTTGTATTTATATTGAACACATTCATTGTTATAGTAGTATCCTGCCTTTATGCCACCACCTTTTTTTTACATTTATCAAGGACACTGATACCGGTAGTTAACACAGAAGTTGTTGCATTATATATCAAAATTGGTTTATTCAATAATAGCCACGAAATTCTACTTTTTGAGCCAAAATCGATTGTTTGGCCCTTTTAGCTGTTGCAGGTTTTTTTTGGCATTTTTTTTTTTTTTTTTTTTGCTTCAACTTTTTGTCTACAATTTCCGTTTTAAAAGAGCATCAAGCGTTGTACATGATTCTAGCATAGATACAAATATAGCATCAGTAGGGTGGCGTCTTTTTGAAGGAATCGATATTATCATTTGTCATAGTAGAGTTTAATACATAGCAGACCACCCTACTGCACATGTACGTTGTAAGCATTGCATTAGTTTATTGTAAATGTACTATATGTGTATGCAATTTTATCTGTTCTTGATGTTGATTACAAATGCAGTTGTTGAAAATGAAACACAACATTTGTTAACAAAATTTTTGCTCACCACACACGGTCTGCTACATGAAAGCAGAAAGAATCACGCTTTCTCGTATTGGCTAAATAATTTTGCAGTTTAAACATGAAAATATTTTAAGCGGCAATTTAGAGATTGTCATGAATATGTATGTTACACAAACGGACACATAGACATTTTTATTTCTCCCAACATTGGCCAAATTACCTTGAAATTTTGATGCTTATTTACACCATTTGTGAAAGTTATATTCGATTGAAATTTTCTTTTTGTAGAAAATTTTCGATCAATTTTTCTTTTTATAGAAAATTTTCGATCAATTTTTCTTTTTATAGAAAATTTTCGATCAAATTTTCTTTTTATAGAAACTTTTTGATCAAATTTTCTTTTTATAGAAAATTCTCGATCAAATTTTCTTTTTATAGAACATTTTCGATCAAATTTTCTTTTTGTAGAAAATTTTCGATCAAATTTTCTTTTTATAGAAAATTTTCGATCATATTTTCTTTTTATAGAAAATTTTCGATCAAATTTTCTTTTTATAGAAAATTTTCGATCAAAACTTCTTTTTATAGAAAATTTTCGATCAAATTTTCTTTTTATAGAAAATTTTCTTTTTATGGAAAATTTTCGATCAAATTTTTTTTATGGTAAATTTTCTCTTTATAGAACATTTTCGGTAAAATTTTCTTTTTATAGAAAATTTTCGGTCATAATATTAGTCTTATAGAACATTTTCGGTCAAAATTGTATTTTTATAAAAATTTTTCGGTCAAAATTTTATTTTTGTAGAAAATTTTCGGTCAAAATTTTATTTTTATAGAAAATATTCAATCAAATTTTGTTTTTATAGAAAATGTTCAATTAAATTTTCTTTTTATAGAAAATGTTCAATCAAATTTTCTTTTTATAGAAAATGTTCAAACAAATTTTATTTTTATAAAAAATTTTCGGTCAAAATGTTATTTTTATAGAAAATTTTCGGTCAAAATTTTATTTTTATAGAAAATTTTCTGTCAAAATTTAATTTTTATAGAAAATTTTCTGTCAAAATTTAATTTTTATAGAAAATTTTCGGTCAAATTTTAATTTTTATAGAAAATTTTCGGTCAAAATGTTATTTTTATAGAAAATTTTCGGTCAAAATTTTATTTTTATAGAAAATTTTCGATCAAATTTTCTTTTTATAGAAAATTTTCGGTCAAATTTTCTTTTTATAGAAAATTTTCGGTCAAACTTTTTTCTATAGAAATATTTGATAAAATTTTATTTTGCAGAAAATTTTTATCAAATTTTCTTTTGTAAAAAATTTTTGGTCAAATTGTTTTTTGTCACTCAATGTTCGATTTAAAGAAATGGTGTTTTTGCTAAAGTTATTTTTCATTATTACACATACAGCTAAAGAACTGGTCAACGGAAGTTCGGTAAAAATAAATAACCAGAAGATAAGTCTTTAATAACAACAGAAACTAAATAATATTTTCGTTATCGGTCGCTAAAAAAATACCAAAAAAAAAAAAACACAGATTTTATTAGAAATTTTGTCCTCTCAATTGTTCTGTATTTGTTTTGTAACTTGTTTGTGTGAGGCAGTTGTTCAGCTGAAAAAAATTTTACAAAATCTGTAGTTTTTTCTCTCTGCTTTACAATGTATGTATGTAGTAGTTGAATTGAGTTGCATTGTTGCAATCGGTATGCAACAACTAAATACAATAAGGCAATGGAGCAGTCAACCAGTAAAAGATACCGCCCACTCGCTGTCATTACAACTGCCGTTTAAAAACAAGAGCATATTTTCCAAATGTATGTGTAATTGTAATAGTGTAACCTAGGAATCGTAGATATATATACATAGTTATGTATGTATATAAAAGTTGATATAGTGGTAAAATGGCAAATGTCGAAACAGGAAATTGCATGTAGAAAATCGTTGCTGTAACAATACTTTTCATTTTTCCAAGTGGTTGAGGGCGCACGATGCCATGTATTACGAGGGATACACTTTCTTTCTAAACGGTAAAATCATGTTATACATTGAGATAAAAACATGGTAGTGCAGCTGAAGAAAAACAAGTAGGTAAAACACATTTGCCAAAAAGCTTGATAGAACAACAACGGCAAACATGTTTAAACCAAACATTGCCAATGTTTGTATATGTAATTACATTTCTCTAGGTCAATTTCGAAAACATGAGTTAAAACGGTCAATAGAAAAGATTTGTTTCTTTTTTTTCAAAATAAAACAAAACTAATAATTGTTCTTCCGAAATTTTTCTTCTTTTTTTAGGGAAGTTCTTCCACCCCAACCGCCGCTACTGTTACAGCAGCTGTACCACCTCCACCACCGCGTAACGTCTTTCCGGGAGCTCCGCCCCCAGCTCCTACGGTCACTTTAAAAGGGGCTCCTCGACCACCAGCCATGACTAGTCCAGCAACAGCTGTTGCCGCTGCTGCTGCAGCCGCTGCCGGTGGCTTAGCTGGTGCTCAATATCGTGGCGCCACCTGGACCCCTCAAGGTTATACACCAGCTGCAGCCGCTGCAGCTGCTGCTGCCGCTGTTGCTCAACAGGCCTATCGTTATACGGCTCCATTGCCTCAACCAGCCTATGCTGCATATACTCCGCATACAACAACTACACCAGCAACAACAACGGTAAGTGAGAAAAATCTATTTTTTTTATTGATTTTGAATATGAATAATAAATGGGACTCACAAAATATTGAATCTGTGGTTGGATCTTCTTAAACTTTGTTAAAACGTGTTTAGATTGAAAAAGAGCTTTATTTCGTGAACTTTACAAGGCTCGTTTCTATAGCAAATGTATTATTTTCTCTATGCCTCGTTTCTTCGGATAAATTTGTTTACAAGACTTTTTTATGTAAAAATGTCTTTGCAAGACCCAATTCTATAGAAAAGAGACCTTACAAGACCTTTTTTAAGAGACTCGTTTCTGTAAAAGTGTATTTTTCTGATCTTTACAAGTGTAGTTTCTATAAGCGTTTTTGCAAGACCAGTTTGCATAGACCAAAAAAAGACTTTGCAAGACTCGTTTCTATTAGCAACTGCCATTACAAAATCTCGATTCTATAGACAAATTTCTTTTCCAGACGCATTTCTATAGACAAGTGTCTTTGCAAGACTCATTTTTATATACAAATGTATTTGCAAGGATCGTGTTTACAAGCGTCTTTGCAAGACTAGTTTCAATAGACAAATGACCTTGCAAGACAAGTTTCTTTACGTAATTGCCATTACAATTCTAATTTTAGACAAAAGTATTTACAAGACTTGATTTCATACAAGGGTCTCTTGCAAAGCATTATTCGACTTACAAAATCGCGTTTCTATAGACAAATCTCTTTGCCAGACGCATTTCTATAGACAAGTGTCTTTGCAAGACTCATTTTTATATACAAATGTATTTGCAAGGGTCGTGTTAACAAGCGTCTTTGCAAGACTAGTTTCTATAGACAAAAGACCTTGCAAAACAAGTTTCTTTAGGCAATTGCCATTACAAGACTAATTTCTATAAAGAAATGACTTTGCAAGACTAATTTGTTGAAACAAAAGTATTTACAAGACTTGATTTTATACAAGGGTCTCTTCTACATACAATTAAATTGCAAAACAATCTTCTACTGTTTAAATATATTTACAGGAATCGTTCTACAGGCAAATCTCTTTGCCAGACTCATATCATTGTATCTTTGCACTTATCGTTTCTATAGACAAGAGATTTTGCAAGACTCGTTTCTTTAGGCAATAATTGCATTTTCAAGACTTATTTCTATGGAAAAGTGTCTTGACTCGACTAATTTCTTTACACAAGAGATTTTGCCCAACACTTTTCTTTAGATAAATATCTTTACAAAACTTGTTATTTAGACAGAAGACTTTGCCTGAATATACATACAAGAGTGTTTACAAGACTCAGTTGTATACAAGTGTCTTTTCTACAGAAAGTTTCATTTGCAGGATTCGTTTACATTGATAAGTTTATTTAAACGACTCGTTTCTAGAACAGAGTCTTCCAAAATCTAGTTTCTATGAACAAACATCTTTGCAAGACTCCATTCTTTGCAAAACTTCTGTCTATGAAGGAATCGATTATATAGAAAATTGTGAATTAACTTCTATATACATTAGAGACTTTGTAAAACTCTTCTCTACAGACTGCTATCCTTGCAAGGCTTGTTTCAAGAAGAAATAGTATTTGCATGACTAAATTCTATAGACAACAGACTTTACAAGACTTGTTTCTATGAACAAACATATTTGCAAGACTCCTTCCTTTGCAAGACTTCTGTCTATGGAAGAACTCGTTTCTAGAAGCAAAAGTCTTTGCAAGACTAAATTCTATAAATAACGGACTTTACAAGACTTGTTTTATGTACAAGTGTTTTTACAAGACAAGTACATTTAACATGAACAATTTTATTTGCAAGACTCGATTTCATTGGCATGTGTCTTTATACGTCGCATTTCTAAAGACACAAGAGACTTCAAAAAACATCTTTGCAAGAGTCGTTTCTGTAGATGATTCTCATTACAAGACTCGCTTCTATAGACATGTGTTTACAAGACTCGTTTCTTTATACTAGGGTATTTGCAAGTCTTGTTTATATAGACAATTGTATTTACAAGTCTTTTTTATATAGAAATGTTTCTTTCGTTTCTACAGGCAAGAGATTTTGTAAGTCTCATATATAGAAAAGTGTGTTGCAAGTCTGGTTTCTATAAACTTTACAAGACTCGTTTTTTTAGGCAACATCTTTGCAAAACTAATTTCTAAAGACAAGAAACTTTACAAGACTCGTTTTATATACGAATGTATTTGCAAGACTCGTTTGTATGCAAGTGCCTTTTCTACAGGACTCGTTTCCTTAGACAAGCGTCTTTAAACGACTCGTTTCTAAACACGATAGACTTTGCAAAACTCGTTTCTTTGTCTTCTTAAAATTCGTTTCTGTTTTCGACTGTCTATGAAAGACTCAATTCGATAGATACGTATATTTGAAAGATTCAGTTCTATAGAGAAAAGTCTTTGCAAGACTTATTTCTATCCACATGAGTCTTTACAAAACATTTCTCTTTTTTAAAAATTTTATTTTAATACTTAAAAAAATGTTCTCGATTACTACCACTAAGTAGTTGTAGGTGTTTTAAACTAAATAATATGCAAATATTAATTGAACCATTAAAATTTCGAAAAAAAAACAAGATATGAACTTCCCAACAATTGTCAATCCTCTTCAACTTGTACCTTCTTGTGTAAATTAATTTTGTTTGTAAAGCTTTTTTCAGTGAACAGTAGGCGTAACTTACAATAAAAACTTTTTTAATATAAACACAGTTTGTAAATTTTTTTATTATTTAAATTTTGAAAAAAAAATCTTTCCTCATAAACTCAGCGGCATATTTTGTTTTTCTATAAAGAGTACATTACATTTTTTTTAATAAGGAAAATGAAAAAAAGTTGTTGCTGCAAAGCTCGATTGCTGTTGTCATAATATTGTTTGAAAGCAAAGTTGGGTTTTTTGTTTTGAGTCTTTTGCAAAAGTCATATGATGTGATGTAAAAAAAGCCTCTGTAAAACTGTTGGAAGTATTTTGATGGAATAAAAGTTTTTTTTTTTTTTTTTGTTGGAGATATTTTTTAGTTTTTTTTAATGAAATGTTAAAATTGACATTATTAACAGAAAATTTCTATAAGAAACTAAAGAGACCTAAAAATGTTAAAAAATAATCCTTATTAACATTTTTTTTCTTCCCCTTCCATAGTTCCCTATAAAAAAGTGTAAATTATTGTTATTCTCCTGTAAGAGTACTTTTCATATTAAATTCCTTCTCATCCTTTTCTATAGTTCCTTTTCGTTCTTTTCCTAGCACTACTTTAAATCATTATTGATTGTATGATTGTATAGCTTTTTATAACCTTACTTAGCATTTTAATGTTTTTTTCGCACTAAAAAGAACATCATGTGTTAATAGAAGTCAATGAATGTTATACGAGTAATGGATAAATAAAATTATACAAATGTAAATAAATTTTTACTTATTTTACTTCGCATACATATGTATGTATGAAAATATGTATGTGTATGTACTATATATTTATTTATGTTCATTCTTATATTTCATTCTATTATTCATTCATTTCGATAATAATAAAATGTCTTGTAAGTTCTTGGATAGATGTCAGTGTCTATATACATATATATATATATATTAGAAGCAGAGCTGCAAAGTAGTGATTTATTTAACAAATCTGAACACATAAAGAAAAGTTTTTCATTAACTGTATCTTAAAACATGTGTATTTGCCAGATACTTTTATGCAGACAAATGTATTTACAAGACCATTCACTATAGTAAAGTGTATTTGCAATAAATCTTTTCATTAACTTTTGCTTTTGCAAGGCTTGCAAATACAAACAAGTCTTATATGCAGACACTATTATGCAGATAAATGTATTTGCAAGACTAGTTACTATAGTAAAATGTATTTCCAATAAATTTATCCATTGACTTGAGTGTTTGCAAGACCTGATTCTATCTTTACAAGATATATCTTGTAAAGATATTTAGATATGTAGATAGATAGATAGGTAGATAGATAGATATATAGATATATAGATAGATAGATAGATAGATAGATAGATAGATAGATAGATAGATAGATAGATAGATAGATAGATAGATAGATAGATAGATAGATAGATAGATAGATAGATAGATAGATTAGATAGATAGATAGATAGATAGATAGATATGATAGATAGATAGATAGATAGATAGATAAGATAGATAGATAGATAGATAGATAGATAGATAGATAGATAGATAGATAGATAGATAGATAGATAGATAGATAGATAGATAGATAGATAGATAGATAGATAGATAGATAGATAGATAGAGATAGATAGATGAGATAGATAGATAGATAGATAGATAGATAGATAGATAGATAGATAGATAGATAGATAGATAGATAGATAGATAGATAGATAGATAGATAGATAGATAGATAGATAGATAGATAGATAGATAGATAGATAGATAGATAGATAGATAGATAGATAGATAGATAGATAGATAGATAGATAGATAGATAGATAGATAGATAGATAGATAGATAGATAGATAGATAGATAGATAGATAGATAGATAGATAGATAGATAGATAGATAGATAGATAGATAGATAGATAGATAGATAGATAGATAGATAGATAGATAGATAGATAGATAGATAGATAGATAGATAGATAGATAGATAGATAGATAGATAGATAGATAGATAGATAGATAGATAGATAGATAGATAGATAGATAGATAGATAGATAGATAGATAGATAGATAGATAGATAGATAGATAGATAGATAGATAGATAGATAGATAGATAGATAGATAGATAGATAGATAGATAGATAGATAGATAGATAGATAGATAGATAGATAGATAGATAGATAGATAGATAGATAGATAGATAGATAGATAGATAGATAGATTAGATAGATAGATAGATAGATAGATAGATAGATAGATAGATAGATAGATAGATAGATAGATAGATAGATAGATAGATAGATAGATAGATAGATAGATAGATAGATAGATAGATAGATAGATAGATAGATAGATAGAT